AACACAGAAGAAATCACATTTATTATTGAAATACTATTTCTTACCGCCTCATCAGTTTGCTTCCTATACTCACAAAACTCCTTATTTAAATACTAGATTGGCAGAATTTTAGCCTGCCCTGTTTTTGCCCGATGCTATCACAATTTGTTTACTATTATAGTTTATTTTTCTAATTTAACGATGGGAAATGAAAGAGAATTACTAAGGAAATAATTGTCGAAGATAAATACGCTAATTTATTTTCATTTCTCTTTTAATTCTTGCTGTCAATCTGCTGTAAAGTTTCTGTTCCAAGTCTAATTCATTAAGAAACAGTCGATCTTTGTATTCCAATTGATAATTTATAAACAAAAATATTTTAAGCGATATCGCTGATGATACTTTACGGTAAAATGACACTAATCACCGACCAAGATTAGATTGGCATTGTTCATTTCTTAACCTGTTAGACTGGAACATTTTTTATTTTGATTGTTCCATGCAATTATTTCTCTTGAACTTTAAATGTTATAGAAGATTAACAGTTACTAATAATAAAAATATTGTTTATTTAGCAACAAAAAATAAATTTATACAAAAACAAAGTACCTATTTGAATATTATACACCAGGGGTGCTCAAACTTGAACTGCTGGCGATCTACCTCAATATTTTTAGACTACACTCTGAGAGGCTGCAAGTGTGTGTGATGCAGGGTTGTCGTACATACACGATACACCCTACCTACCTAGGTAGGGTGTACCGTAGCATATATAGATATTAGCTTTCTGCACAATATAGGTACATTATTTTAGTCAAGGTTTGGGTTAGGTTTAGTTAGGTTCTTCTCTACAATATCAATGAAAAAACTCATAGTTATTCAAAATTGCGAGTTTATTGGTTGTTACAAAACAAAAGAGTTACATATGGTGTTAAACTTAACTAAGGAGTGGCTTTGGATGTTGAAGCGTGGCACTGCATGTCCTCAGCATACTTTTCATAAGATGGTACGTAACCACTGAGTGCTAATCGCAAGCATGATGACATATGATCGTCAGTTAGTCGATTGCGATATTTTGACTTAATTATCTTCATTTCAGAAAATGCAGACTCGCACAAGTAAGTTGACCCAAAAAATGCCGTCAGTTGAAGGGCGATTTGCCTTACATTCGGATATTTATCTTCAGATATAAAACACCAGAAATTTGTATCAGATGCTGTAGCTTTGAGATGTATATCTGATATAATCTGCACCAACTCATTTTCAACAGAACATGAGTTCATATTAAACTGACTTGCTATTTCAGTTGCTAATTCCTCAATGTTTTTACATGAAAAAGGATAACTCATAAATGATGCTATATTTTCCAATTTACTGCAATCATAAAAACGCATTTCGAATTGTCCCAAAATATTTGATAATTCAGCCTCATACGTATCATAATTCAACTGAGGAATCCTTGCTTTCAAAGACGGAAAATGTTTCAGATCCTTTCTTTTCAGTTGATCTATCATAAGTTGCAATTTACTTTTGAATGCGTTTACTGCGCTAATCATCTCAATAATAGTTTTTCCTTTACCTTGAAGCTCCAAGTTAACGGTGTTTAAGTGCATTGTGATGTCAGTCAAAAATGCCAAATCAGTCAGCCATTTTTCGTTTTTCAAAATCTGAGTGTCATTACCTCTTTCGTCTAGAAAAGCTGTTATTTCGGGCAATAATTCTTGAAACCTTTCTAGGAATTTTCCGCGACTCAACCACCTGACGTCCGTGTGAAGAACTAAATCAGTGTGTTCAGCTGACTCCCTATCTTCCAACTGCAACTGAAAGAGCCGCCGTTGCAAGCTACGTGCACGGATGGAATTCACAATTTTTGTTGCAATGCCCATAATTTCCTCCGTGTTTAAAACTTTTGAACACAAAACTTGTTGATGTATAATGCAATGGAATGAAAAAAATGAAGGGAATTCTTCATTAGCTCGACACAATGCCACAAAACCGTTTTTGTTTCCAGTCATTGCTGGTGCTCCATCGGTTGTAATGCACACTAATTTATATATTGGTAGCTCGTAGTTTTTTACAAAATTGAAGAAAACGTCATATATATCTTCGCCACGGGTCTTCCCCTTCAGAGGAATGATTGTCAAAAATTCTTCCTTAGCCAACATGTCATTGAATACCATCCGAATAAAAATACACAGCTGGGCAGTGTCTGTCATATCGATGGATTCGTCGAACTGTAAAGAAAAGTATGTACATTCCATGATATCATGTTTTAGTTTATCTGCGATGTCCTGACTCATGACTTCAATACGCCTTGTGACAGTCGGACGAGATAACTGAAGTTCTCTAATAGCAGACATGATTTCTGTTTTATTTTTAAAATCTCCAAATAAAGTCTCACCCGCTTCAATAAATGCTTCCTTCACCACCGATCCATCTTCGAATGGTTTCTTGTGTTTCGCCAATATATGAGATATTTTAAATGACGCGATCGTAGCAGCTTTTGATTGTTTGGCTGGTCTTGTGAACATGGATTGTTCTTTTTTCAAACAAGATATCAAATCACTTACTTTTCGTTTTCTTAATTCACTCTGTGGCGGAAAATCCTTTTCATAGTTTTTATGAACCGTTTTATGATGCCTCTCTAAGTTACCACGCTTAGGTATTGCAACTGACGCACGACAAATAACACAAATGCACTTATCCTTCACCATACAAAAGAAAAATTCTTCCTCCCAATCCTTATTAAAATGATACGTTTTAGATTTCACTGCACTCATTTTCCACTATTTAATAATAAACTTTGTATCGACGTAGTATCGCCATCAAGTTACAATTCAGAATGACTCCAATTCCTGCAGGCACAACATTTATATCGGCGTGAACGAAAGTCTCGAATGTTCCCGTCAAACGCGCCGCCCGAAACTAGACTGTACTGTCTCTCGTTGTTTCTAGACTAGACTGTACTGTCTACTAGTCTAGAAACAACGCGGCTTTTCTTTGACAAGTGCCGCGCGTTCCTTTGATAAAGCCACCTTTTGCCGCAAGCAGTGTTATTTTATTACGTAATACATTTTTGTAGTTTAGTTACCTACCTACTTATTAAAAATTTTTTTCTTCTCGAGATCTACTCAAAAAGCACTCGCGATCGACTGGTATAATATACACCATGGTAAGTACGGTCTTCTGTACGTTGAAGCTACTATCTACTCACAAAAAAGTTAGAATGAAGCGTGCGTTTAAGAATACACGAAAAAATAATATAATAATTTTTAAATGAACAATAATGATAAATAAATCAACAAGAAAAATGAAATAGTTACACAATTTATGGTAAAAATATTATTAATCATAATTAAATTCCTTAATTAGTCCAGAACTGTCAGATGAAGATTGCCGCCAATCTTACGTGTCGTGTTGAGAGCGCCAGTGAGATATTGATAGATAAGATAGATAGATAAGACTCTCAACACGACACGCAAGAATGGAAAAATTACACAGAAAACAAACACTTTGAGTGAGTAGAAATACTTTGATTGCATATAAAAACATATATTTTGCATTGTAAAAATTCACTTTTTTTCCACATCCTACATGTATTTGTTTGTAAATCCCAGGCCCTGAAGATGATCTCAATAAAGATCGAAACGTGGGCACGATAAAGAAAATGTTTTTCTGAAACCTACATCACACCAGACCGCATCTCACGATTTCTGAATAATCATTAACCAGAATCCTATAGATGCTTTAAACCTCTTAAGACGGTCATCTTATCGCTAAGACACCCAAAAGAAATAAGGAATGGACCGGAGCTATCCCTTCTGGATCCAAGAGAAGAGGTGCAAAATAGTTATTAGTTGCATCCTTCCATGTTACCATACATGTAAATAAGATATGCATTATTACAAAAACCGTATTACACTTCTTCCTTTTAAAGGGTTCAGGACAAAATGCGAATATATCTTCCATTATAAACAAAAATTGGTATATTTCTTCAGATTAATAAATATAATAAAAGAAGGCAGACAGAAATTGTTGCTTCGACAAACTGTATTTTATCTGGTCCGCTTACGATCGTTTTTAATCTTACACCCTTACTTGCAGATTTAGCAAAACTGATTAATCAAGCCCACGCTCATTAGTTGTTAAATAAAAGAAGAGTTTGTTTTTTATTCGACAATTCGTATACAAACATTACTGTTAAAAGTAGTACGGCTATGAATTTGATCCGAAATAACTCCAAATGGGCTTATCATTGGAAAGACACAGGGAACCCGGTAGTAAAAAACAAATATTAATGTCATGGATAGTCTAACTTTTTTTCTTCGAACAACAAATCAAATTGTATTATTTTTTCTACTTAAATAGTTATTAATCTTTTTATGTAAGGTTTTGGTTGAAATGAAAAAGTTAGTGCCTCGAGCGGGATTCGAACCCGCGACCTTCGGCTAAATACGCCGCTGGTCTACCGCTTGATCTATCTTGACTTTGATCCACTCGAACACCAACTCCCCTTCTTAATCTACAACCTTTCGAATTTTCCGTTTTTTATATTTTTCCATTAATCTATATTATATATTTATTAGCTAACCAAAACCTTACATAAAAAGATTAATTAATTCAAAGTATATAATAGACCACTCAATATCGGGATTTCATAAGTAAAACGAATTATAACTTCACCAATAGCTCCCCGTGGGCACTTCAAATGTCACCGAGAATCGAATCCTGATTACACGACATTTGAAAAAATCGCAAAAAGTGGGAAAATTCGAAAGGTTGTAGGTTGAGAAGGGGAGTTGGTGTCCGAGTGGATCGAAGTCACGATAGATCAAGCGGTAGACCAGCGGCGTATTTAGCCGAAGGTCGTGCGTTCGAATCTCCCTCGTGGCACTAACTTTTTCATTTCAACCAAAACATTACATAAAAAGATTAATTAATTGATAGAAGTAATTTGGTTAGTAGGCCACTAAATATAATGTATTAAATATTTACTATTTTTAATCTCTCTTGACAGGTGAGAGCGGGTGTGAATGGATTTAACAACTGATTATGTTGGGGACCAAAATGCACCTCGAACCCAACATCGGCGGCTGGACGGATAAGACCGAGGTATGACCCCGGACGGCCATGGTTTGCTGGTCTGCCAGTAATTTATTGCAAATTACAAAAAATGGAATTGCAGGTGGACTGCAGAAGGTGGTAGGCACAACTCTGTACATGCCTGGGCAGATTGGAGCTTATATAAATGAGGAATCATATGATCTCTCTTGTGGTGTAATATATATAAAAATTATTTTGATCAAGTAATATCTTCAGACGAGGAATCTTAATCATCACAAGTACGTGTTATAATTGTCGAATTTTTCCTAATTTTCTGAATTTTTAGTACGAGAATCGATCCTTTTTTTCCTTTACTTTCCCCTCAATTAGGAACGTTCGATTATACTCAACGACGCGGTAGCCGTTAATGGTCTACCAACAAATTATTCATTAATTCCTTCCCTTTATTGACTGGTTCACAGTTTTCTAATGATTCTTTTTGTTTTTGTTTCACTCGCAGTGCGTTGGCAGCTTGTAATCATTGATCTCTTTATGTATTCATGTCATGAGTTGGAGTAATACAGATTAAAGGCTTTGAGCTCGCTACGGCTTGAAGGGCGAAGGAAGAAACGATTGGCTTGTCTGAAAAGCTTTGCTCGACGTCTCCTCTGGATTAACACGCACCGGAAAGCCTCGCCTCCGAGAAGATTATGCATTTTTGCAGTCCCTCTTATTTTTTAAAGGTGTCGTTTAACAAAAGGAAAAAATGTATATATCACCTTGTATCTAAACGATCGAAAAGATTATATTGAATTATTTATATTCATGATAATAAGACAAATCCTTCGTATCCTTACTAACTGATCGATCACAAAAAAAGAGAAAACAATCGCTATCTAGGTTGAACGTAAGCTTTAAATTAGTGTAATCTATCAATATCAACCTTTAACCGTCATTAAGGTTTAACATAAGTACTTTTATTTTATCCTTAATCTGGCACACTGATTTCAATTTAACCCTTTTCCATGATACAAAAAAAAAGAAGAAAAATAATCTATCGCGATTTGAATATGACAAGAATGCCCTTATATATTGCAAGAAATACGTCAACAAAAACATAAAACTGTTTCCTGCAATTAACATAAATCAAATACATAAAAACATGCATCATTTGGTGGTTGTATAGCGACGGTTAAAATGGCAATGCCTTGTGTGTCTCAAATTAAAAGAAGAATCCTTTATTTTTATTATTATATGTTATATAATTTTTAATTTTAGTTTTATTAAATTTTTTGAGGTTTTTTAATTAACCCACATCGCAGTGTATTAAAAATATCTCAAAATAACAGAGATTTTAATTGTTATTAATGCTCATATGATTTTTTGGAAGCCAATTATTTTATATTTTAGAAATCTCAAATTAAAAGAATATTCATTCGTTTCTACTCTTAATTTTCCGTCATTTTAAATTCAATTGTAATTAATGTTTCGTATAGTATTCTGTGTGCCCAATTGTATTATATTTAAAGAAGACATACAGGAATTCTACTTAATTTGCTCATATTTCCTATCATCTCCTAAGTTGGTATCCACAATAGATGTTTTAAGTCGAAGTAGAAGATAAGGGGACTTCGGTCACCAGTCACCCGGAGAGAAAAAAAGGAATAATTTGTAGTTATAAAGGTTAATTCGAAATTTAAAAAGCTATATTGAAGTTAAAAAGGGTTGATTTCTAATGAAAAATATTAATTTGGAGCCAAAATTGGTTCATTTCGAGTAATATGCTATCCTGCTTTGTCACCATTCAAGAGAACTAAAAAAAGATTAATTTGTAGTTTAAAAGGGTTAGTTTTAAATTAAAGGTTAAATTTATTTTTCGAAAAAATTACTTCAACTTACACTTAAACAGTAAAAAATTCAATTAAACGATTTGTTTTTAAGTTGGCCGTATTTAACCAAAATAAGGATTTATATTTCAGAAATTGTGAGATGTCTGGTATGATGTAGGTTTCAGAAAAACATTTTCTTTATCGTGCCAACGTTTCGATCTTTATTGAGCCTGAAGATGATCTCAATAACGATCGAAACGTAGGCACAATAAAGAAAAACTTTTTCTGAAACCTACATCACACCAGACCTCATCTCACGATTTCTGAATAATTATCGACTAACGGTCACTAATCACCACACATAAAGATTCAAATTGAAAGAGAATAGATAGAAGAAAATAAACAAATTGATTTTTAATTTTTATGCAAAGTATGGTTGAGATGAAAAATTAGCGTACCGGGTGACGGAACTCACGATAGCTCAAGTGTTTAGAACAGCAGCATTTTTGGCCGAAGGTCGTGGGTCACGATCGTGACGCTAATTTTTCATCTCAACCACACATTACATAAAAATTATAAATCAATTAAAAAATTCAGTGTTTGTGTAAGGTTATCATTTTCCTTTGCGAAAAATTGAATGTCTTTTAATCACGAATTACTAATTGAAGCAAGAATGATTATTAGAGTGATAAGAAACGTAAGCCATAATGAAGCATTCAGAATTGAACTATGTATAAATATGTGGTGTTTAGTGACCGTTAGCCAATGATTATTTGGAAATCGTGCTGTGTGGTCTGGTGTGACGTAGGTTTTAGAAAAACATTTTCTTTATCGTGCCAACGTTTCGATATTTATTGAGATCATCTTCAGAGCCTGGGATTTATAAACATTGTTTAAATTTTACAAATATATGTATAATGTGAAAGATAAAATATTAATATCTATTTAAAGAAATGAATGCTAGAAAATTTTAGATTTAAAAAATTAATTATACAATGCTAGAAAATTTTAGATTTAAAAAAAGAAAGAATTTATACAATGCTAGAAAATTTTAGATTAAAAAAAAAATAGTTTATACAATGGTAGAAAATTTTAGATCAAAAAAATAATCTAAAATTTGGTAGCATTGTATAAATTTATTTTTTTAAATCTAAAATTTTCTAGCATTTTATAAATTCTTTCTTTTTTAAATCTAAAGTTTTCTAGCAATGTATAATTCATTTTTTTAATATAAAATTTTCTAGCATTCATTTCTTTAAATAGATATTAATCTTTTTTCTTTCACATTATATGTATTTGTAAAATTTAAACAATGTTTATAAATCCCAGGCCCTGAAGATGCTCTCAACAAAGATCGAAACTTACAGTACCAGAATACAAGTTTTTGCCTGAAATATGCCGAATTGCAATGAAGTTTTGTTTTATTCAACTAAATTTTCATTCAAACCAATTATTTTATTTAGTTACGGTACCAAAGTTATTTGTAATATGTTATTCATGATTTTTTTTACAAGTTTACTCTTGAAATTTTGTTTTGCTTAACTGTTATTATTATTTCATTTTTTACATTCATTAAAAACTTGTTTTTAAATTTGTTTATTGATCAATTATTCACTCATCGTTAAAAATAGACTGTGATCTTCGCTTAGCGTTATTTTTTCGTTATTGCTTCATAATGATTGTTATGGCCTATTTTATATGAAATCTAAATGGTTAAGAAAGATTTGGTTTATTATAAGTCGATGATTTATTAACTGATCTTTCTCGCTGATAGCCTTCATATTTTTCACAACTATTTATTCAATGTGATTTAAATCTATCGTTGTTTTTGCAGGTGATTTCTTTCATGAGTACGACAACGCTTTTTTTTCGCCACAGATCCATCTCTTGAAATTAGAAGGTAAATTGTTTCTAATTTTTGGTACAAAATCCTGCACATTGCAACAATATCTGCATCTAGAGATGCAACAAACGAATGATTATTACATTGATTGATAAAATTATCCTTAATTAAAAAATCATATACATATACATATAAACATACATATATAATATCAAAAATTAAAATGGCGTGAAGTCTGGAAAAAGTAAGTCGCCCAAGGACGCCCTAACCTACTGTTATTGAGAAGGTTCCTAGGCCACTGGCGACCTACTGCTGGTTGATCCGGCAGGATTTTGTAGGGACCATATTTGTTGAAGAAGTGGACTCCATATTTTTGGAGTTATGGAATTTTGTATGACGGGAAAGAATGAGTTCTTTGACAAAATGAATTTGGAGGTCGGTGTGTAGGGTAAGGTTTGAGGCGCAATAAGGAGCATTGATGACCTTACGTTGAATTTTTAACAGCATTGGCTGAATTCTTTTAGAATTGGAACATATGATTGAGCCACTGTTCTATTCGCTTAAGTACAGTTTGACAGCGTTCAAACAACTAGGCAGAAATTCTGGCGTTGATGCATACAACAAATTAATTGGAAAGAATCTCAGAAAACGTTCTGGTTCCGGCCATGGTATTCACAGATAGTCCAGTATCATCGGACGTGCTCATGGAGTAATGAAATCATAAAATTGCCGCGGAGAAAATTCGTGCAAAGCTTACCAAACCAACAGTAATAAGACCCACAATAACTTATGGATCACTAATCTGGTGGAATAAAGCTCAACAAAAAGTAGCTACCTAAACATTCGGCAGCATACAAAGACTAGCAAACTTACGTATCACAGGGGCAATAAGAACAACCCCTACAAATGCATTAGAAACATTGCTAAACCTACCTCCACTGGATATATTCATACAAATAGAGGCTAGGAAAACCTCACGTAGGCACCAGAAACAATGAAATTGGAAAGTAACTAAACAACTCGGGCATACAACCATAATCAACAAAATCAGACACCCATTGTTAGAAATGGGGACTGATTATATGATCAATCTTCACAACTTCGTATAAAGTCTCAATGGACTATAAAGGAGAGGAAGAACACAAGAGAGCATCAGATACAATGATATGGTACACAGATGGCTCCAAAACAAACGAAGGAACCGGATCAGGCGTTTTCTGTACAAGCCCAAAACATGAGCAATCAAACTCATTAGGGAAGTACACTTCGGTCTTTCAAGCGGAAGTACCTGCAATCAATGCTTGTGCCCTGGAAAATTTTAAAAGAGGTTACACTGACAAAAAATCCTCATAAGATCAGACAGCCAAGCAGCTATTAAAGCATTAGCATGTAAAAGAATCTGATCAAAATTAGTCAGTGAATGCATCCAAAACCTGGGGAAACACAACAACCAGATGATATCTTGGGTGCCAGGGCACAGGGGAATTTTGGGTAACGAGAAAGCAGACAGACTGTCCAGAGGAGGATCTGCAAGAACATACATAGGCCGCGAACCTATTCTTGGGATAACAAGAACAAATATAGAATCATCCATCGCCGAAAGGTTCCAAGTAAAACAAAAGAAGAAGTGGATAAACTGTAGCGGAGCTAGACATAGTAAACTTGTGATGAAACAACCCTCACCGAGACTGGCATAAGCACTTCTGCAATTGGAGAGGGCCAAACTTAGAGGAGTGGTAGGACTACTAACCACTCACTGGCATCTGAGAAAACATCTACACAACATGGGTATATACAGCGATGATCCCATTTGCAGATTATGTAATGAGGAGGAGGAAACAGCCACTCATATGATCTTCGAATGCGAAGCAACAGCTCAATGGAGGTTTAACCTAACGTTAAACCTTAGGGAATCAAATTGCAGCAGCGACAGTCAATGACCTGATACTTCTAAGAAGAAGGATTGAGTCTATTGTACTGAACTAAGGAACTAGGAAGTTACGATAAGCCAGAAGGCTGCAGTGCCTGGGGAGTGCAAACCCCTCTTCCCAGTATCCTTCTTCACTATACC